ACAAACCCTAGGCCCGAAGCCCCTCAAACCCTGAGCCCTGAAGGTCTGAGTCCCATTTTCTCCCTGAGCCCTAGACCCTAAACCCTTAACCCTGAATCCTAAAGTCTTACAGAACCTGCTGGTCCTGAAAATGGAGCCCCTGAGGTCCCAAAAGCCTTAGAGTAGAACCCAGAAAGTTGGAGCAGTCTTATCCTCATGCCCTTAAAGTAGAACGTATGCATCTACAATCCGTTGTTTCGATGCATGTGTGTATGTATGTATGTATGTATGTATGTATGTATGTATGTATGTATGTATGTATGTATCTATGTATCTGTTGTATCTAGGCATCTATGTATCTTTGCATCTATCGATCTATCCATCTATCTATCTATGTGTGTATCTCTACACATCTAGAGGGAATCTCAGCATTAACCATCCTTAACCCTAAGGGTCCATTAGATACTTTGGCGGGAAGCCCAGGTTATATTCCCTCGATGGAGGCCTTGGTGGAGACCATCCGAGGCTTCTAAGCACGGAGGGGTTTAGGGGGTTTTGGGGGTTTAGGGTTTAGGGGGCTTTGGGTTTAGGGTTTAAGGGGTTTAGGGCTTAGGAGGTTTAGGGTTTTAGGTTTCAGGGTTTAGGGTTTTAGGGTTTAGGGGTTAGGGTTTTAGGGTTTAGGGTTTAGGGTTTAAGTGCTTAAGGCTTAGGGCTTTTGGGGGGCTCTGCAGGCTTGGTTTTCGGCTTAGTGACGTAGATGTGCTCCTGGGGAACTAGATTGGCCGGTCACGGATCTTGGGGATCAAGTGTCGGCTTTTCTTCGAAGGATTTCAGGCAATTAAAACTCCCCGAAGTTCTTATTTGTTAAAGCCAGCGGTCCCAAAACAAGGCCCACCCACACCCCGCCAACTGCATTGCCCTCTTCGTCCTAAGCGCAACAACAACAAACTGTGACACGACCGAGCCCCGATAACCCTCGGCCATAAACTGACAAAGCTCCGAACCCTGAACCAAGGGACACGAGCCGTCGTCCCTAAACCGTAACCGAGACAGCACAAGCCTCATCCAAAAGGCAACGGCATCCTTCTGACGGAACTCACCTTATCCCACCAAACCATCGGTACGTAGGCTTGTACATTGGAGTCGAAACCGCTGCGGTCATGGGCTTAATGGGTTTGTAAGTGATGAGGCTTTTCGTTTTGCAGGGCTCATTAATCAAGTGAGGGTCGGTGGGTGTAGGACGTAGAGTTTAGAGTTCAGAGAGGTGTTGCCTGCCGGAAACCTGCAGATCCCACCGAGTCACTTTCTTACAAAGGTAACTTGACCTAAGGCTTATTATTATTATTGGGTCGCGGGTTTGGGAAAATTGGTCCAAACTCCCCTCACCCAAGATGCTTCGAGCCTTCCTGAATCCTACTGTTTCGTGCAGGGAAGCTGCCAGACTGGGACATGCCCATGCTGGTAGCCTGGCCAGATTCTTTCGGGAGTGTCTCACCCAACTGGTGTCGGTCCCCCCCAGTAGTGTCCCTCAGCTTTTCTTATTTTTGCTTCTGAAAAGCCACGCTGAATAGTAGTAGAAAAGAGCACGAATATCATCAGGGGATGCTGGCGACTCTACGCCACATTCTGTTTCTTTTACTGGCTCGTGGGATAGATTATGATGGCCCTCACAGTCGTCCGCATTTAAGGCCCTACGTGCGAGGTCACTGAGACATCTCTAAGGAGTGAACCGAATAGGGTTTAGTTGCAGAGTAAGCAATCTTTAACCTCATCCGGATAGTCCAAGCCCCATCAAGCTCCCGTGGCTAACCATCATCATCCCTCCTACACTTCGAGCCAGCGCGCCTTTGTCGCTAAGCCGAAGTTTCGATGCCCATTACCCCGGCCCTCCCTAAACCTTAAACCCTAAACCCTAAACCGCTGTACCATGATGATTGGAACTAAGAGAGGCCTCCCACCCAAGCGACCGAAGCAGCTAGTCCTCGATCTAGACGCTGAGTTGTAGCACTTCTCCTGAGATACGTGTTTTTTTGTCTGTGGCTTGGAACCCCCAACAGGAATACAAGGTAGTCCAAACGTAGGTACATATGGGTAGTTCTCTAAATTAGGGTCCTTTTTTCAGTCCCCAATGTAATACGGCACCTTTATAAAAAGGACCCTAAAAGGGACCCTAATTAGAGAACTACCCATATGACGGTCTAAGTAGTTAAGGCTCACCTCGCTGTGACGAGGTGCTTAAATTAAAGCCTCTTACCCCACTCTTCAGCAAAGGCCCTCTGACAAGATTCTTGGTTGTTGTAAGCGTTAACCTCTTATGGTATTAGCAGCCATCTACAACCCTTGAAGATTCATCTTGAGTTACTTCATACTGTTTGTTAGGGATAATCACTGGACCAGCAGGGCTTAAACTGTTCGGCATGCTGGTCGGTCATGTTTCTGATATAGCAGAGGCATGACCTAAACCCCAAACCCATGGCCTAAACTCCAAGCTGCGCGCAGACAGCACACCCGAAATCTCCAAAAGCCGGAATCCACAACCCCAAAACGAAACATGCCCGGAACTTCGTTCGTCTTTGATTCAGATCGGTGCCCGGAAAGAACCCCTCAACCCTATGAAAAAAAGCCCTGAAGCCCCCTTATATACCTAACCCCAAAAAACCCAGGCAAAAACCCATGGCCAGCCTGCGTCTCCCACCAACTTGGCCAAGGAGTTTAAGGCCCTTTGGGCTTTCAACATGGTGCTTTAAAACGGCGTGTCTTGATGTTTATAATTGGTAGTGGATATTATCATTATGCATACATACATACATACCTACATACCTACATACATACATAGATGGATAGATAGATAGATGGATAGATAGATAGATGGATAGATAGATAGACTATAGATAGATAGATGGATAGATCGTAGTATTATTATTATTATCAATTGTTATGCACAAATAGATAAGTTTGTGTAGGGTCTTTGTTGTTTGTTTCTTTTGGGTTTTGCAGGGGGCATGTTGGTCAAGAAGGCTACGGCCCTGTAAGTGGTGCGAGGGAGGGACTGTGGAGTTCAGGGGGCTTGTGGAAAGGGTTTAGGGTTCAGGGTTTTAGGTTTTTGGGTTTAGGGTTCAGGGTTTAGGGTTCGGGGTTTAGGGTTTAGGGCTGCACAGGCTGAGTGTTTGTTAGGGGATTTAATTCATGTCACCATAATAGAGAACCCATATTATTTCTATAGATCCCCATTCATTCTGGTAACATACATAGAATCCCTATGTGTTCCATTTGCTGCAGCGGTTTTCATTGTTCGGGCTTCTGGGGCTTATGAGCTTATAGATATGTCAGGGTTCGGGGGGGGGGATGCAGTGTTGTCACCGGGTATTTGCCGCATTTCCACTGGGCTTCTGGGAGGTGCAGTCATTGAGTCACACAGGGTTCCAACACTAAACCTTGAACCCTAAACTCTAAGCCCCAAACGCTAAACCCTAAACCTTAAACCTTAAGCCCTAATCCTTCGACTTGAAAAGAAGAGCCGTAGGAGCCTTCGGAACTGAAGACCGGGCCCAATGAATTCCAAAAGATGTGCGAATTCCTTGGACAACTTCAGCCCGGAGGGCGGCGAGCCAGCAACAAAAAATCACCAACAGGGTTTAGGCTTTAGGTGTTTAGGGTTTAGGGTTTAGGGTTCACAAAAACGGTGTTGTTGAAGAATGAATGTTGCTTTCAGGTACTGATTCTCTTTGGAGTTTTGGACCCGCTGTCAACCTGCTTCACTGTCCCTGCATTCTCCATTGCGTAAACAAGCCAAAGTCCGTGTTTGGGGGACCTTAATTTACCACTGGGATAGACTTATGCCGGATAGAAAGACCTCTCCAGGTCTTTATTGAACGGATTGAGGCCCAGCTGGAGCTTCTGAAGCAGGCATGCGTGTTGCATTTTCAGCTGTTTTTTTGTTTGTTTTTTTCGGTTTGAGGGGCAGGTTTGGATGATAGCTTCGGGACTGCTTCAACGAGCCAACGTGAGAGTTGCATTGAGAACTTTTAGCTTCAGTTGCACTGTTAGGCCTGGGTCTTTTTCACCGCAGTTGGTCAACGCCGAGCTTTTCGAACACAGCACGCCTTAAGCCTTAAACCTTACGGCCATGAGCTGAGTGAGCACCACAGCCGCCTGAACCCTGGAAATCCTTGAACCCAACCTCTAAGCCCTAAAAACCCAAACCTTCAAGCTTTAAAAAGGCAAGTTACATTCGTTCCACCGACTAAAAGCTCATAACCTCTGACTGAATTGCCTGTACAGATCCACTAGGACCTGAAAGCGCTAACGACCTTCAGACCCGACTTGGGTAGTTACCGTTATAGGAGCCTTATAGAAGGTCTATATACCTTATAGAAGCCTTATGGAAGCCCTATATACCCTAACCTTGTGCCGGGCAGGTCCCGCACAGCTGCAAGTTTGGCGGGGCGACGGGCAACATGACTCTTGGCAATGCTGAAGACTTCTGGACCTGGAGGGTTAAAGGGTTTAGGGCCTTAGGGTATCCTAAACCCTAAACCCTAAACTTCTGGACCTGGAGGGTTTAACGTTTAGAGTGTAGGGTCTGTATGGTAGTTTGTGGCCAATTTAAGTTCTTGCAGCACTGTAATTACTATGACAACGCGCTGTGCAAGTCATTGGACTTCCTTGCATGGATGGATGGATGGATGGATAAATAAATGGATGGATGGAGGGATGGATGGATGTGCGTCTGTACTGCGTTTGGACATGGTGGATGTGGTGTTGGAATTATATTTGTATTCATTGCATGGTACAGATGTCGGAGTGTGTTTGCATGCACAGCTGGACGTGTTGGCAAGCACTTGCAAGAATGCTTTCCGGCAGCACAGAGGGGCACCTTTCCCACACCAGCAACAAGCATTTTTAGAGCGGTGCGACCCAGCAGAAAACCCTAAAACCCTAAAACTTAAAACCCTAAACCCGAAACCCTAAAACCCTAAACCCTAAAAATCCAGCAGATTTGTTGTGGGTCCTTGCGTCAGGAACGCGCACCTGGTGACGTTCCCAGACATCGACGCCTTGCCCGCATCCAATAAATAGGCTCAGAAGACCTCTGTTGAAGCGTACACTCAGGTCTCCACCCCATGTTGTTACTTACAAGCCCTATAAACCCTAAACGGAACATCCGATCTGCAAAAGAAACCCAAAACCCTAAACCCTAAACCAATGTAGTCAAGAAGCAATCAAAGTTTGTCAGGGTTTTAGTGTAATGATCAGAGTTGTACACGTTGGAGCTTGGGTCGATGAGGATAGGGTTTAGGGCTTAGAGTTTACGGTTTAGGGTTTAGGGCTTAGGGTTTAGGGTTTAGAATAGTTAGAGTTCTGCGTCAGGAGCTTTGGCTTTATCACAGTGATGTAGCGTGGGATTCAGGTTTCACTCTGGACATTTCTTGCAACGAGGTCATTGATCTTGTTGACCTTCGTATAGGGTTCAGGGCCTAACAGTTTAGGATTTGGGTTTGTTTCTGGTTTAGGGCCTACTGCAGGGTTTAAGATCTAGCATTTGGGGTCGGTGATCTGCTTTCGTTCAGCCCTTGCAGGACCTGTACAACCTGTTGGGTTTGGTGGCAGCAGTTCCCAATGGGCCTAGGTGAGAGACAGCTTATATGGGTCGTCCTCTAAATTAGGGTTACTGTTAGGGTCCTTTCTATAAGGGTGCCGTACTATATTGCGGACCTCAGGAAGGGGCCCTAATTTAGAGAACTACCTCTATGCCGTCTGTTTGCTAGCCCTCAACCCTAGACCCTTTGAAGTTTGCGGGAGAAAGGACTACCCTGCACCCTACAAGCTAAACCCGAACAGTCCGAGGATCCTCTAAAAGCTACCTACCAGACCCTGATCAGAATCCGCCTGACCTCCCGTGACTCGTAGGGTTTAGGGTTTAGGGTTTCCTATGCCCGATCTGCAGCACCCGAACCGAAAGCCGCTTCGGGTGTACGAGGGTTTAGTTGAGGGCTTACCGGCTTCACTGATATGCTCCATACCGGGCCAAAAGACTGAGGGCTTCTTAAACCCTGAACCCTAGACTCCTCAAAGTCTACACGCGATTTCGGCTCTAGGGCTTATAGAGCTTATAGAGCCCAAGCCCCCGCTTAGGGTTTAGTTTAAAGGCCTTCATAGGGCTTCTGCTTTGGTTTGCTTAAAGGCTCTGGGGCCTGGAAGTTGCGAGGATTGGCGATCCTTCGCCAACGACTTCTGCAGCAAGAGCCTAGGTCTCTCGCGGCAGCAGCAGCTTAGACGAAAGAGTTGGAATTGTTGTTGTTGTTCATACTTGGTGAGTTGGAAAGTGTATAAGTAAAGGCCTGCTTCAGAATACGAGTGAGTGTATAGTTGGAGCTTTCTCCTTCGCGCGACGCTAGTAAGTTGGACTTGGTCTTTCCCCCTCTCGTTGTCTCTCTGTCCCAGTTTCTATCTAATCTACCTCATCTGCCTGTCTACCTACCTGACTAGTTATCTACTTGTCTACCCACTTGTACCTATGTATCGATCTCTTTAGTTCTCTCTCTCTCTGTCTCTCTCGGTGGCTCGTAAAGCGAGATCCAGAGGGTTACCTCTGCTCTGGTGAGAATTCCGGCGTGCACTGAAGTTGCAGGGCTCATTGAACCTTGAAGGAGTTTGGTTGCCATTGGTTGCTGAGCGTAATTGGAGGATTAGCGGACCTAGTAAGTAGGTTGTAAGCAGAGATTTAAGTAGGGTAACCCCGAATAGGGGACTTATAACTCAAATTTTGGCCTACTTCTAGATCCTCTGCTCCTTCTAGTACCGAGGTACACCACCCAGATCGAGCACTATGACAACATGGGCGCGATCTTTGTCTTGCCCTCAGCTCTGTCGGGGCATTCGTTCAAACACCGAGCTGGTAAGATTTCAGGTTGATGGGAGGTTTAGGCTGCAGAGTTTAGGATTCTTGAGGGAGGGGGAGGGGGATGGAGGGATTTAGCTGTCAGGGTTCATCAAGACTGCCCATCCTTTGTTGTTCGGCGAAGCGTCTTGTGCGTTTAGTAAAGCACAGCCTTTCCTATATATCCTGTAGAATCTTGTAGGCAGGACATGTGTGTGTGAGAGAGAGGGTGACATGTGGTAAATTTCTTGAGGAAGATAACTTGGGCTCTCTGCAGTCCCTAAACCCTAAACCCTGAACCCTAAACCCTGAACCCTAAACCCCAAAGTCTAAACCCAAACCCTGGAACCCTAAACCCTAGAACCCAACGTGAGTTTATGGCCTCAACGACTCGACACGCTCCTGCAGTCCACCACTCGAAATCCCAGGGCCAGAAACCACCAACTTCGGAAGCTCAGCCCTTCACGGCATGGCAGCTCATCCCTTTAATTTTTTTTTTGGATTGTGGCCATCTTTCTGCAGGAATGAGAACCGAAGCTTTATGTCTCGGCTCAGCTGCCGTCTTCATACCTCAGGCTTCGAACGCAGGATTGGCTTCCCGTGGTACATGCATATGTATGTATGTATGT